GTTGTGTCGAAGAAGTTGCAGTCCTACGTGTTGTTATTTTTATCTGAGTCAGACACTCTTTACATATTTTATGACATGTAATAAAATGTTTAACAATGAAGAACTGCCTTCATTTCGGTACTTCGCATAAACGTTATCCTGAAGGCAATACCATTTATCCTAGATATAAGTAATTCATTTTGATAAAATAAAGAAAAAATAATGACTACGCTAGTCGAAGAAAAAGCGCTTTTTCCTCTTTAAATAATTAGATTACAAAGAGAAAAGGGTCGCTTCAATTCTCGCTAAATACATAGATTTTTCGCGACTAAACATTTATGATCCCGTCCTTCTACACTTTTTAAATTTTTATAATTTAATTTAAATGAATCAGAAAGACCGGGGGGATCGTCTAATCTTGTATTACACTTACGACTTCTATATGATAATATTTTTATTTCCCTTATTGTTCGTGTAGTGTTTATATTAGACTCTCTTTTATGAGTGTTTAGATGATATTATTATGTATTTTTTTTACATAAATTCCATCAATAAATGCATTTAGAAATAAATTTTATTACAAAATCCATTCGTCAAATTGTTTAGATTTATTTAAATCTAAATAATTACTATATTTAGATTCTATAGAGTATAAGTTTGTAAGTAATGCGAGTGAATTTTACATTAAAATTCGCTAATTTTTTTTTAGAATTTTAGGGACTTAAAATAGGGATTTAGGGGAATTTAAAATTAAATATAATTTTACTATATTTTCTAAACATTTATTTCTTTAATTTTTAATTATATAAATCAACTAGGAGAAATTTCTGAGGTCAATTTTAACACAGACTTTAGTATCAAACAAATTTTAGCTTCCATTTTTATTAGAATATACGAAACTACTCACAATAGTTTATAATGTAACGTTAATGGTACTGATCTAACATGTGTGACGTGAAAATTTTACAATTCACTTATTTTAAGATGCTTCAACAGCAACTAAAATTGGATCAATTATACTAATTTTTAGGGAAAAAATTGCTATTATTTTATTTATTTTTTTATCAAAATGTTCTAGATTTAAAAATATATACTCTGAGAATGGAGTGAAACTTTTTATTTTCTATAAAAATCAAATAAATAACTTAACAAGCGTAGAAATTATCTTAATTTTGAATGGTGAGAATGCTTTAAAACGAATTGATTTATTTATTTTAATGTAAGTAGGTATAAAATATAATTATATACACTAAAATCTATTGCATGTAAAATTTAAATTACATTAAAAATTTTAAGTCTGTGTAATAAATTAAATAGAGAATAATCACAGAACACAATTAGCTTAGTTCATAGCCTGAGCTAGCTCTTTTCTTTGAATAAAAGGTTAATTTCTTTACGTGTTAACCACCGTTTTATACGTAATTTTACATCGTAATTTTGTTCTTTATAACAAGATTAATACGATTTAATTTTGAATAAAATCCAATATTTCTAACGAATTTACATACGACATAAGTTTGTAGACACAGTAAAAACTTTGCAATTCTGATTTACAGTCTACACGCTCTTTAAAATCTAGCATGAAGTTTCACAAATGGAAGGATGGTTACAAGCTAAACCCTCCAAGAAACAGTTTCCTTTTTTTCTATTACAAATAAGGGTGGTTTCTGTGTGATGTTGCTCATCGTGTCTGAACCATCCCGTTAATACAATGAACACAGCATTTTTCTCCCCCTTTCTTTCTAACAAGTTCGTTTTATATTCAGATTCTTTGAATTTCCATCGATGCTTTTGGCCAGTGTCTCCAAACTTTTTGGCCTGAAAAATCCATTATTCGTCTCCTCTTTAAGTATCTCGCTCTCGAGGGATCGACCCTCAATTTTAGAAACACTGTGGCAGACTAAACGTGTTGAAATTCGAGTTTTTTTAAATCTCTTGTGATTGGGAATTTTATTCTCTCAAAAATATTTCAGAGAAGACTTTAGAAAAAAAAAGAAAAAAAAAACGTAATATATGTTTTCATAATCTGATGATAATTCTTCTGGATATATGAAAATAAAAATATATCCAAATGGGTAGGGGGAAAATCTGTTTACAGTTACATTAGCAGTAGGAGAAAGGAGAGTAAAACGGATTTTCTGAAAGGGGAAGCAAATAAAATGTTTGGAGAAAAATTGACTTAGACTATCCATAAGTCAAACGTCAGATTCTAGCTCCTGTATGCAGACTAGATTTGAGCCAGTGAATAAATAAATTGATATAAATTGACATGATTTGAATACGAATCTCTGTCTCTACCCTTTCGGAAGATGCATTGTTTCATTTATTGTTCCATTAACAAAAAGTTGGCAAGGTCTAGTTTATCTTTAATAATAAACCATTAAAGGATGCTTCATCATTAGCTGATGAAGATCTCTGGAGAGAATTTTTAAATATAGCCTATATATATAAATAAAGGTTAATCTTTGTAAATATTATCTATAAATAATTTCGAGCTACCCTTTTTTTTTTTCTTTTGGCAAATAGTTATCAATAGTTGTACAAAGAAAAAAAGAATGATCAAAGGCAGGAGAAAAATAACGATGGTCACTAAACGATCTCCAATTGTCAAAAAAAGTGACAGATGTTTAGAAACGAAACAGGTTGTTTTTTTATCGTCGAAAATTCCGTCAACAAGATAAAAAGGCGCTAGAACATAACGTAAAAATTGTCAGTAAAAGGTCAAGAACTTCGACGAATTGATCCGGAGCTTAATCTTGTCATTGCAAGTCACATCTGGACAGTCAATAGATTGTGATCAATGCGTTTGTACTCAGTTTAAGACGAAACAAATGGATAGCATTCTGCTGACCGCTAGTTCCGGATAAGATAGAGAAAAACATCAAGTGCAAGCCCCCCCAATCTGTCTGATTCTCATCGGAGAATCCATTTGTTCTAACGTTCACAACTAATCTCTGTTTAAGTAGCTGACATGGATTTGACACAGTGTCGGCTGACAACGAGCAAACTTGGTATTCTACCCCCTAAATTCGTCTTCCCCAATCTTTGTTCTAGTGTCGCTGTCTTCACGTTGGCAACTTACTGAAAGTTGCTGCATGTTGGGTAATTAGTTTGCTGACAATTAATGTCAGATCTTGTGTCAGACACCTGGACCTGTGACAACCGACTGCGACTTGCCAACTTCCAACAAAAGATGGCAACCGGCTTCCTTATGGATTCTTTACTAAATAGATAATATAAACTCACTCGCAGCACAATCTTTTTTTTTACGTACAATTTTATAAATTTACACGAAGCATCCTCGTAACTTTTCATCTCCGAGTTAGACTGATATAAAAATGAAATATGGCTAGGGTATTTCTTATGCAAGAAAAGAATGGAAGATTTAATGGATTTAATTAATAAAAGTTGACGTCTAATCAGTTTAATAGTAATTAAGAACGATTAGTTATTAAAATAATCCAACTCTCTAATTGATTTGCCATTTTATAAATTAATCTGGGATAAAAACTACCGGTCTTGAATCATGGCTGCATCGGTTATGATTCAAAATTAAACAATATTATCGAGAATACAATGGTAAGCAATCGCCATTGATTGACTCTTTTCTTATAAATCATGAATTTCCAAGCACAAAGATAAGGATAGCTCCCACGGATCTTCTGTTTGATGTCTCTCTCACATAACGTAAAGTCAACATTGGGAACTTTATAATCCATTGGTATGGACACCAGATTGAAGGACTACCCAGCTTGGCAAACACTGGTGTCTAGATTAAATGGCACAGTTTAGAGGGATATCAAGAGGAAGGGGGGGTGCTATCACGTATTATTTATTATCTTCATACATTTTGGCTGCCAATCAAATTAAGGACGGTATTACAGTCTATCGGGAACTAGTGGGTAGTCTGATGGGGTGAGTCAGAGTTGAAACACTACTTTAATTCTAACAATGATAAATGGGCATCCATAGTATTGTGTTCGAGATTCGAGGCCTAATTAAATTAACTCTATGAATGCAATATGATTAGGGAAACAGTGAAACAGGCTGTTTGTTAATTGAATGCTCTCGCTTTTATGCCTGTTGGATAGAAGGGAGAGAGAGAGAGAGAGCATAAATAGGAAGTTCGGTGGTAGATGCGGTCTCATACACACTTAAATTTAATTTATAAAAGTAATAATAGTTTATTCGGTTATATAAATTAAGCGAATTCTAAGTGCTGTGCTTAAATCGGAAAGTAAATTTAAATGGTGTTTTAACTATACGATTCCTTTTTGCATTTGTGCGCCGGAGAATTAAACTTTGAAAATAAAATAATCGCATTCTCGGTAATTTATTAAAAAGTAACGATCTCGTTTAAATTTATTCTTGACCAGATAAAGTTTGCATAAAGTTAATAGGCTATAGTAACAATTAAAATGCATTTATAAGCCATTACTTAAGTTGTTTTTAGTGAAGTCATTAGTTCATTTTTCTCCATTTCTATTCTTTATTTTTACTTGACCGGGAATTAAAAAGAAAAAAAAAAAAGAATTAAGACCAAACTCTGTCGCTATCTTCTTTTAATGTATTGTTCTTATTATGTCCTCCTCTTCAAAGATCGTGCAGGATATTTATTCGTCCCTTTGCTGTCATGTAATGCCCGTTAAAAAGATCAAGAAAGAATAGTCCATTTTGGTTCAAAAATAAATGGACTTTTAAAAGGCATAATGTCCCCTAAGTGGCCATAAAATCCCATCAACACACGTGCACAGGCGACAGGCCAAAACCCGCCCTGCTTCTTAAAACTGCGCATGCCAGACACGCCTGGTGTAAGGTCACTTCCGGTCACGAGCTTTCGGTTTTCACAGCTTCCGGTGGCCTCCTCCTCGCTCCGCATCTATTAAGTGACGTCCTCTGAGATGGAAGAAGACTGCTCATTATTCGGTCTCTTAGCAACCATCTCCCAATCACGTCACATCCCGCTCCTTTGAGGACGTAGCGATAACCAATGGGCTTTCGGCAAGTTCCGATCTTTTACCATCGTCTGCTGGACCTCTTCAACTGTCCAGTTCAACCGATACATTTTCTGTAATTCTCAATAACAAGAATGAAACAATATTTTCGCCCACGCTTTCTAAATATAGACGACGTCCCTTTACAGATGGACTAGCGATGTATTCTTTTATCAGAGACAACACGGCATCTCAACAGATGGCTCTAAAGTCACCTTACCAAGCTCCACATCCTCTCGGACATCTTTTGACTCGCCCGCCTTTTGCGATGTTGCCTTTCTATGGGAATGCCGCTTCTCTCTACCGTTTCGGCACCGGGCTATCTACCACATCTCAAGACGTGTGCCGCCCTTCGGCATCCACCGTTTCTGACGTCACTTGGCCTCCTATGCTGACGGGTCACACGCCTTGGAGTGAGCAGCTGGCTAACATTGCAGGTATGGAAGAAAGGCTCGTTTATTATTGTCTCGTGCCAGACTCGTTTAACGTATTTTTAATGTCGGATGATATTTTGTAGCTAGAAACCAAGCGGAAACATCATTGGCACAAGGCAGGAAGAAGGCCTGGAGGCCCACTTTTTCCGGTCATCAGATTTACGTTCTGGAAAAGACATTCGAGCAAACTAAATATCTAGCAGGACCAGAAAGGGCTAAATTAGCATACGCCCTTGGAATGTCCGAAAGTCAAGTTAAGGTGAGTACAATCGCAATTATTATTAAACTTTTAAAAATTAATTTTATTCACAAATTTAATCAGGTAAATTACAATTAACCCGTATAACAGTTGCAATTCTAGTAGTGGTA